CCCGGCTCTCAGATTAGCATGGTTTTAGTCAGCCTCACTACAAACAGTCTGAGCCCAGCCGGCTCTCCGTGGATCTGTCTGTTCATGTTAAAGCAAAGTCATCAGTCACTTCAGACTGCAGGCTTTTAGCCGAGGCTCTTATCCAAAGTGATAAAACGCATTAGAACGCCGAGTGCAACAACTTGATCATCTATTTAGCGAAACATTAGACGGAGAAATGTTCCTAGATGACTATTGTTTTGGGTTTTGTGTGACTGCAGTGAGCGCCGTTTCAATCAACAGTTTTTAATATCACATATGCTTTTGGTTGATATATATATATATATATATATATATATATATATATATAGAATGTGTTGTGACACACTCAGGCATGGGAACACAGCTGTGAGAAGTGAAAGTTCAGAGCCAGAGAAGCCGGCCAACTTTCCCGGGAACCAACAAAGAAGATAAACAGCAAAGAAGTTCTCAGGAACAGACGGGCCTCAGAACATTTAATAAATACTGAGTTTGGCAGAATGGGAAGAAACATAATGGTGTGATTATGTGACCACAAAAAGGCTGCAGTGCGTCATCTGAGAGTGGCGGAAGTACTCTATCAAGTACTGCACTTAGGTACTACTTGTACATTACTCGAGTCCTTTACGCTACTTAACACTTCTACTTCACTTCCTTTCAAGAAATACATATTCTTCTTTTTACTACATTTAGCAGCTAGAGATACAAGTTACTTACAGTGTGTGTGTGTGTTTGTGTGTTGTAGTGTGAATCCTGTGCAGACCTGTCAAGGCTGACAGTGAATCATCTTGTTGCATAACAGCAATCAGCTCTGACAACAGCACACCTGTAGCACACATCTTATTATTTGTGTGTGTGTGTGTGTTCATTCTTCATTACGGCCTCTCTAATGTGGAATAACCTGCCAGAGAAACCCACGCAAGCTGAATCACTTCAGTCTTATGAACACTTATTAAATATTTATTTATCCTATTTATGTTATTTATTAAAAAACTAAACAGCCTCATTGATTCTTAACATTTGCTTATGTTGCATTGTTTTATATATCTCTTAATGCTCCGTTCAGTGATGTGTAAACTGGTGAATGCTGCCATAAAAGTAGTTACTCAGTTTTAGGTTTTAATTCATTAATTAATTGTTCAGTGTACAACGAGTTGTGGAGAGAGGACTACAGGGCTGTTGTATTTAAATGCACTAGTTTCAGCTCGGTGTACCTAATAAACTGAGCGTGTGTACACACTGGTTTGTGAGCGCGTGATGCCAGTTGCAGCATGTCCGTTGGCCTTGCCCTGCTGCAGGGAGAGACTGGAGAATTGCTGAGGCATAAACTCAGCTTCTAAAGCTGAACCGTGTGTCTGAAAGCTGCTGAGGACAGATTGCCTGCGGAACACACTGGTCTGTCTCTCTCGCTCTAGTTCAGGAGAACCCATTATGGACCTGGAATGGGGCTGTAAGGTTTCATTGTGGGAGCTTTGGAACACTGAGCGTTCTAGTTTGAACGTCCCATAAAGACACAAGATTAAAAGCCCCACTAGTGGCCTCTGGAGGCCCAAAATACAAAGATTGGATTGAACAAACAACTTATTTCTGATGTTAGATCTGACCAGAGGTGAGACTGACATGTTTAGTTTGTCCTGAAGTTGTACAAGCTGGAGGAAAGACCATTGAGTCATTACAATCAACAGGTGTTATCCCTATTTAGGGAACGGAGGTGTTTTGGGCAAATTTGACATTTTGGTCCGAGGGTGGGACAAGATGAAATGAATTAATGTTCATGCTGGTACAGTAGTACAGATCTGGGAGCAGGTCTTGAGGTTATCTTTGTCAAATGGACAGAACAGACACAGTTGGTTGCAGTTGAGCCTTATTTTAGAGGGGTTAACTAAAGGGTCTACCCTGTGGTGAGGAGCCATTAGTAAGCAAAACAAGAACCCCTCAGTGACCTCCATCCATTTCATTTTTAAGACAATAGCTAATGCTGCATTCAGTGCCACATTTAGCAGCTGAAGAGCCCACGCTGCGCTACCTCTCAGTAGGGCTCTTGTGGCCATATTTATCTCTTCCTTCTGCCTCAACAGGAAGTGAACTCTGCTAAACTCACATGGCTTCACTTGAAATCTGAACAAATACCACAGGCAAGGAACAGAGAGTCTACATTAGATAAATCCACAACAACGACATGAGTTATACCAACAATTCTAAAAAATAAAATACATACGGTGGAGTAAAAAATACAATATTTGCCTCTGAATCGTGAAGTAAAAGTAAAAAAAGTGGTCTCAGTGCAATACTTGAGTAAATACCCTTTTCACGTGACATTCCACCACCAGAGATATCACACCTTATAAACCAGGGTGTTTCTGTCCTGAGGACACACACTGCTGCTTTCATTCCAGCCTTCATTTCACTTCATTGCACAGATGGCTGGAGGAAAAACCAGCAGCCGTCTTCGTCCTGACAACCAGCTCTGAGCTGTGAAAACTTCAGTCAACAGTTTAATCTTGCAATCATAATCTTTGTTTGCATTCAATTTGCACGATGTTATCTACAAACCAACACACACACAGTCACAGACACGTTCACGAACCAGTTTATTTCCACTGAACATTTGTTTTTTGTCAAGACTGATTGAATGTGTATCTGAAGCTTTGGAGAAGCTGTGTGTGTGTGTGCGTGTGTGTGTGTGTGTGTGTGTGTGTGTGTGTGTGTGTGTGTGCGCGCTGAATTGAGCAGCAGTGGAGTAGGAGGACAAGTGTGGAACAAAGTGTGTGTTGAGCATGTTGATAACAAATCAGGTTCAGATTGTGAAGTTCTCAGGCTGTTCAGACCATATCTGCCAAAGGATGCCATGATGATCACTCATACACACACACTCATAAGATGAAGGCCTGTTTATCTGTCCTATCTCACTGGATCACACTGGACTAGTGTTACCTGGGTCTCCTCTGGTAATTTGTCATAATAGTTGAGGTTGACTTTGATCTTTATTCTGTGGGAATCTGCCATGTGTGTAACTTGTGACGTAAAAATTCCACCGCATTTCGCCAAACAACGGTCAAGTGATGATATTAATCGCGTGCAGATCTGCATCTCTGTGATGTTCCTTTTTTGTTGTTGTTGCTATAACTCGGAGACGAGCGGCTGAAGAGATCTGACACGAGATGAAGAAATGCATCTCGTTTGACGTCGCCTCCTCTGAGAATGAGGAAATCTTTATCAGCACTCGACAATCTCTCCTCCTAAAAACAAACAAAAGCAAGCAGTATGTCGGCGTGTGTGTTGTCACACGTGACGTCAGAGGTGTTTCTTCATCAGCGTGTTTGGGCAACAGTTTGTAATTCAAAGTAAGGCATTGAATGCAGGATGTTTACTTGTAGTGTAGTATTTTCACGGTGCGGTTATAGTACTTTTACTGAAGAAAAGGATCTGAATACTTCTGCGACGCTATCGCCTTGACAAAATGAATCCACAGACAGACAGACATATAAACACCTGGTGAAGCCCTCTGAAATGCCTCTGTGGTAGTTCTGCTACAGCAGGCGTTTCCATGACCACCGTTGGCCCCGGTGACTCCCACGTCACACGGTGACACCAGCTGGTAACAACGTTCTGTTATGACCTGAGATCAGCCTCTCTTTAGCCTGAAGACGTCGCTCTGTCTGCCTGCTCCCCAGTGACTGGCCAGCTAATCTGTCAATCACCTGAGCACACGCAGGTCACAATCTCCTCAATGGTCTGACATATACCGGGTCAGCACTACTGGTGTGTGTGTGCGTGTGCGTGTGTGTGCGTGTGTGTGTGTGTGTGTGTGTGTGTGTGTGTCTGGCCTTCAGCCACAATCTGATTTGTGAGCTCTGAGTCAGTCGCTCGCTGGTCACAGACAGAGAACCAGAAAACATGTGCACCGCTGTGGGAGTGTGTTTGTACTTCTTGAGTGCTTTAAATTCACTTTAGTATTGATCTGTTGTGTCCGAATTGACATTTTGTGCTGCTCAAAAAGCTTCTCTGAAATGTCTTGTTTGGACTCGGTGGTGCACGTTTCCTCTCATTCTTTCAACACAACAATAAAGAAACAAATAAACATTTAGAAAAACTCAGCAGTCACAATATTCTCACACAGCAACACAAAGCAAATGTATAATGAAAACATAACATGCATCGTAATAACACACGAGAGCTGTTTCAGTGTCACACACACACACACTCCTTAACATAAGCTCACAGCCTGTAATTGTAGCGAGGACACAGGATGTAATTACACGTGTGTGTGTGTGTACATAATTATCACTTTTCACTTGTAGAGGTGTGTGTGTGGGTGTGTATACAGTATATGTAGGGAATGTGTGTGTATGTAAATTTGCAGGTTTAGACGTGTTTTTTTACGTGTGTAAGTGTTTTTATGTCTGTTTTTAGGATTTGGAAGTGTCGATTTTTACAAACTAAGAACATGTACTTGGACACAGCCAGTCATAGCTAGTGTACTGTAAGTGTGTGTGTGTGTGTGTGTGTGTGTGTTCGTTCACAAGTGCCAGAGTCACAGAGCGGGTCGCTGTTTGCCTCGCTCATAGTGAGCGTCACCATGGCAACGGCACTAGCAGCGCAGTGTGAAGTGGAGGAAGAGCTTTGCGGTGCTCAGCGTGACAGAGAGACGCGGAGAGACTGGTTCCACATGAACGACTGGGCGATGATGTCACTTATTTCAGTCGCTGTTTACTAAAAACTCAACTAGAGTTTACCTTTTGATTATGTTTTTTAACCCACTGATTACATTAGATACACATGCATACTGTTACACACAGCAGTATCTGTGTGTAACAGTATGCATGTGTATCTAATGTAATCAGTAATTATCAGTCCAGGGTCACAAGAGTTAAGGATCAGAGAGAGAGAGAGAGAGAGAGAGAGAGAGAGAGAGAGAGAGAGAGGTGTGTCCTACTGAGCATGCTCTTTGTACTAACTTCCTGCTCTCCTCCTCCTGACAGAAAAGACCGGCATTCAACAAAAGCAGAGAGGAAGACGAGCGGAGGAGCAGCTCTGAACACAGCTGGGAGAATTCAATCCACACTGAGGAATAATCACAGTGTTCAGACTGAACTCTGCCCTGTGGATGTTTCTCTTTCTCTTCTTCTTTTTCACCCTCATTCACTGGAACGGACATTAATCTTTTTGAGAATCACCTCGACGTCTGCCTGGGAGATGACAGACTTGCCGCTTTCTCTTCTTCGTGAACGTTTTGACAGAGTTTGAGTGAAACTCCGGGAGCAGACGGGGATTCTTTTCTTTCTTTTTTTCCCCTCTGTACTTTGAACAATCTCTTTCATTTTCTGTTTTGTACGTCGTCGTCATCTCACTCTTGTCTTTTCCTGATATCGTTTGGTTTCTCATAACAGGAAGAGAAGGAGGTGACTGACTAAAGTTCTAGTTTGGCTTTCACCAGGGGACAAGTCCTCCCGTGTGTGTGTGTGTGTGTGTGTGTTTTTGTGTTGGAGCGTCCCTCTGCGATACATTACCGTGTCTCAGGGAGACAATAACCGGCCCTGTGTGTCTCTTCTGGGAAAATGGGATCAGAAAAGGACTCAGAGTCGCCTCACTCCTCTGTGAGCGGCGTCCCCAACCCTAAGTGCCGCGCGGCGGGCAAACGCCAGGGCCGCATCTCCTTTCACAGCCTCTTCAACAGCAAGCGGGGCTCTCGTGGCGCCAGGGGCCCAAAGGGAGGAGCCGCCACCCCTTTATCCCATCACCACCAGCTTCATCACACGCAACAACAGCTCCTCCCTACTGCCTTGAACTCGGCCTCTGCCGCGCCCACGACGACGACCACCACTGCAGCCACCGCGACCACCAGGGACGCCTCCAACTGCACCCTGTCAAAGCCGCTCTCCTCCAGCGAGCCATCCCTGGTTGGAGCCCCATCCTCTGAGGAGGCCGACCTCTTGGAGTGCCCCCTGTGCCTGGTGCGCAAGCCCTCCGAGCAGCTCCCCGAGCTGCTGGGATGCAGCCACCGCTCCTGCCTCTGCTGCCTGCGGCAGTACCTCCGCATCGAGATCACGGAGAGCCGAGTCCAGCTCAGCTGCCCCGAATGTGCCGAGAGACTGTCCCCGCGGCAGGTGGCGGACATCTTGGATGACGCGGCCCTGCTGGACAAGTATGAGGAGTTCCTGCTGCGGAGGTGCCTCGCCTCCGACCCAGACTGCCGATGGTGCCCGGCGCCCGACTGCGGGTAAGACACTGTCCACGATGTCCCAACTGCTGTCCTCTTCATCCTCTTCATCTGTTCTCATTTTCAGGAATCTTTCTGTTTCTATGATATTGTCAAGTGTATTTAATCTGTTGTCCAGCAGCAAACAGCTGCCAGGCTACGTGTTTATGACTCTTTATGAATAACCCTTATTACCAGCCCCGACAGCTGTTTCACCGTGTGAGTCTGTGTGTGTGTCATCATGGCAAAATGTGATCCTGGAGACACCTGCTGTAGCAGAACTAGCACAAAGGAGGTTCTGAGTAATTTGCTAGATGTTTATACGTCTGTGGACAGGTTATGTCATCGTGTTAGCATCGCAGCCGTGCAAGATTCAGTCACCAAACTTAACCAACGTAAAGGAGTTAGATGGATGGATGTGGTCCGAGCAAGGGGGGTAGGAAATGGAACTTCGTGCCCCTGGCTGGATTTGAACCTCGCGGCTAGCGTCATCCTATCGCAAGATGCAAGTGTTCATTGTACGGCTGCAACTTATATTTGTGCGATGAATCATTCGGTAGTCTGTTAGTCGGTGTTTTTAAAAAAGCCCCATCATGAAACGATCAGATATCACCAAACGTTAAAATCCCAAAAAACAGGAAAGCAGAGCGACTGGTTGATATTTTAAAAGTTTCATAGATTACCAAAATGATTGCCAAACAATCACCTGTCAGCCGACCAATAGATGAATCAACGTATTGTTTCAGCACCAGCACAGTGGACTGTGTGAGCACAATGAGGACATTCTGACTAGTCCTCATAGGGGGGGAAAAGGACAATTTAAGTGTTGAAGCTCATTTGTTTCCATCTTCCTGTTTTTCTTTGACATCATCAAGTCATCTGATCAGAGATTCAGCTTCAGAACACTGAAGGGAAATCACCTTGTGTGGTGAATAAAAACAAATCATTGTCAGAACAGAAACTAAACTAGTGTGAGTAAGACAAAAAGTGAAAGCCGTAGCGAAGCCGGAAGCCTTTCTTTATCTGTTTGATGAGTAGCAGGAAGCTGTTTTATATCTGAGAACGTGTCATTTAGTTGTAGTCTGGACAAATATTCAGATGTACATGTCACAGCCTTATCTGGTTCTTGGATGAAGAAGTCATCGGCTGTTAGCTCACATTAGTGCTTGTTTGGCAGCATTGCTAATGAGAGGACTGCTGTTATATATCATCATTCTCGCCTCCACTTGTCTATTAAACCCTTTCTCTCACTCCCTCTTCCTCTTTCTCCCTAGTCCTCTCCCTCTGATGCATCAAACCGCTCGCTCACTCGCTGTCCGCTTATTTCCTCATTCTTTCCACTGTAATTGCCCCGATTTCAGATGAACCGTATTGCTTTAGAGTCCAGATAAGGAACCAGCTTGGCCTGCTCTGTTAGAGAGAGAGAGAGAGACGGGCGGAGGAAGTTGAAACTGTAACTGGGTTAGAGGGCCTTGTGGCCGGAGGAGTGCAGAGTGAGATGGGTCTGGAAGTTGAGCAGCTCTCGTTAGGTTTCTGGAACAAATTGGAGGCGTTTGTTTCATCATAGAAAGCAAGAGTGATTCACTGTGTGTGTGTGTGTGTGTGTGTGTGTGTGTGTGTGGGTCGGAGGAGTGCAGATATTCGATGGTGTTTTTCTTTCTGTGGTGTTGTACAGTGATACTGGTGGCAGGGGAAGGCCAAAGCGTCTGTGTGGTGTATCTCTGCATAAATCTGTCTATTTGTGCCTTTGTGTCTGTGCATTTCTGTTTGTTTCGGTGTCTCCATGACGCCACGCCCCCGACATAAAGGGTGAGAGGTTTTCTAATATATTCAATGGTCTGTATGCTGTGTAAATGTGTCTGCTCTACGGGGAGGTACGAGAAGAAACGTCATTGAAATCAAAACGGGTAGTTAAGTCATGTTTAAATTGGTAAGGGTTCATCTTCTGGGGAGTACGAAAGACTTTTCAAAGAAGAAATAACAAAACTTTTTCATTTACATGGAAAAACTTGAATTCCAACACAATAAAGTGCAGCGGAAATGAGTACGAGTAATGTACCTTGGACCTGTACCTTCATAGTGATTGACAAGCCCTCGGGGCTCCAGGTACTTGTTGTATTACCAGACAGGATGGACGGCGGCTAGCTGGTTAGCATGCTCATTGAGTAGATATCTCTGCTGCACAATACATAGACGTCTTTGACATGAAGTCCACACTGTAACCTCTTCAGACTTGTTGTAAACTAACATTCTGTCCAGACCTGACGCATTGCAGCTTTAAAGAGGCTCTTTGGCTCAGCCCTTGCACAGGCTGCTGTCATACTTTTGTGTCTGATTTTACAGCTCATGAATTGTGTGAGATAAACTCTGAGGCTCCGTCCCTGAGACCGAGAGCCGAGGGAGACATTCTAGCCATACCTCATGGAAAAAATGTTTCGGGTTGGGTTTCTAAAGGTCAAAGATAAGCAGACGGGGGTTGGATGTTAGTCAGTACGTGATAAGTCAACAAAAACCAAAGTGTGTGTTTGCATTGGAAGAGAGGTCGACCGCTGGGCTGAACCACATATTAACCATCCTGTCTGACGCCAGCAGTGACTCACCAGCTCACTAAATCAGACAAGTTGATGAAGTACAAATTATTATTCGCCACAAACAGCCCCGGCTGGAGACAGAGAAACAGCTCTATGCAAACACACACACACACACAGCTTCAGACTTGCTTCCACAGAAACAGTGAAATAGGTGTGAATATATTCAGTATAACTGTGAATGGAGTCTTTACCGCACAGAACAAAATTGTGTTTGTGTGTGTGTGTGTGTGTGTGTGTTTTGTTGCATATTGTCCCACTTGTAGGAAAGGTATGTACTGTAAATGTGACCTGGTTTTTGGATGTTTTCTCTTTTGAAAGATATCCAGTAGACAATGAGGGTGACTGACGAGTGAAAGATGAACACAGGCTGAGTTTAGATCCAGCGGGAACACCTTCTGGACCAAATACACAAAGCTAGCAACTAGCTGGTGAACATAGTGGAGCACTTAAAGAGACAAATGTTTCCCCCAGGAGACGGAGAGCTCAAAGCAGAGTGACTATTACGATTCATCAGGTGGACAAACGTCACGGCAAATGAATGCTAATGTTGCTCCGTATGCTTTAGGGCGGGGCTACCTTGTGATTGACAGGTCACTACCACGGCGTCTGTGAGTTGTCTGTGTTTTCATCATAGAACGTTAACCCTTTCACAGTGTGTTTTCACTTCATGTAACATTTTTTTGTTGACGGTCAAAATGCCGAAGTCGAGGCTTTAAAACTATAGTCCATGAAGCGATGGGGGACGTGGCTATGTCCACTTCATATACGACAGAAACCTCATTAAACATCAGATAAACTAAGTGATACTGCAACGAGAAGCCTCGTCTGGGTCCTCAACCAAAACAGTGACACATCACACGAAACAAACACACACACGGGTCCTCTGTCTTTTGATTTCAGTGCTTTCTGCAAAAAGAAGAAGAAGTAAAATGATCTACTTAAACTCTGGTAAATCTCTGTGACTTCTCATCTGAACCACTTTAACACGTCTGGCCCGCCCGCCTCATCCGGCCTTTACGGTCTCGGCCCGCGTGATTGAGAACAAAGAGCGCCGTCTCCTCTCTGGCTGTCAGTTGCCTTGGCAACTATCGGTGCGGCATATAGAGGGAGCGTTGCCAGGGGTAACGGGAGTCGGGACTTAATTAGACGGATCGATACGTACTCGCCCTGGACTCGCCGTACATGTGCCTGCGTGACATTGCTCTGGATTTGGTGCCATGTAATGTGTTGTCCGTGTTTCTGTGTGCGTCAGGCACCCTGGTGTTAAACACAGCCTGCTGTTAGTGTGTTGTAACGTTGCATTTACGAGCTCAGCAGGATTCCCAGGTGGCCCCCGCTGGAGAGGAACACTGACAGGACGTTTCCTCTCAACACGCAGCACGTCAGCACTCGTGAACCTCCCCTGGATCTGTCTCGTTGTATTTACATCTTGGCTTTAGCCTCCTCTTGTTTTTATCTTATCTCTTATCTCTCTGCGTTTGTCTCTTCTCCCGTCCTGGAAATGTCAGGGCAGAATTGCTCTCGTCGCAGCATCAAAATCCACCAATCGTGAGGCAGCTGTGATGTGGGATGCTCTCCCAGGGAAAAGCTGCCGTGGCAACCTGTTCTTTGTATCGCAACACGTCCAGAGTTAGCCAGATGAGGAGCACTCTTAAATGCTCTATCGCTTTATGTTTGTTCTCTAGTTGTTCTTCAGCCAGCTGCACGTAGGCTGTGGGGGTCTGTCCGCTATCGGACGGATTGCCATGATCCAGACATTCATGATCACCGCGGGATGAATTGTCATCTTTAGTGCAGCTTTTCTCTCTTTTTAATCACTGTGTAGATTTTAAGGACAAAAGTACATCCATTTAAATCCTGTGGCACCCCACAGTAAATACAGAAGACAGTCACAATATGAACGTTGTAACTTGGAAGTTGGAGTTTGGTTCATTCGGTCGGGATAAATACATATACATAGAGAGTTGCACAACAATTATCCAATGCACTGTATCACAGCATTTTTAGCTACTGCTAATTTGCAATACCTGGGGGGCTAATGAAAGTTTTACATTGTTTTTATTCAAAAATGTACTGTAGTATTTTTGAAGGTATCATAAAGCAGCACTTTTTTAACTTTTAGGTGAAGTTATTTGAATTTAATTTAATTTTGAGCATGTTTAGCTGGCAAGAATGTCGGAGAATCCCCCCAAAAGATGAGATGTTATGTCACCGCACACATTCATTTAAATCTATTGATATACGAGACATCACTATGAAGCTTAGTGGTAGCAAATCATCTGATGTCAAAATCAGAGAAGAGATGGGGAGTTTTGTTTCGGATCACTTTTCTTCCTCTGACCAAGAGAGAAATGGTTCAGAAATGTGCTTTCTCGTGAGGAGCTTGCTCAGTACTCGTTTGACACTCTGCTGTTCAAACTTCAACAAGAACATTGATGTTGCAACAAAAAAAAAAAGCATCTGTTATCTCTGTGGTTTGTGTTTCCCTTCGTAGAATCAAAAGTCTGTTCAGTCATTTAAGCGTTGAGGCCTTTGAAGCCTGCTGAGAACAGGGTGCACAGTTTGTTTCATCACTACAGACGCTTTGAGGCAGACGCAGGGTGAAGCGTCTCTCTGCAGGAATGCCAGCTCTCCTCTCGTCTTGTCCCGAGAAAACGAACTCTTGTCTCCTCCGATACGCGTTGGTTTATTTCCCGCAGCCTGTCACGCCGTCTGAAGAGCTGCTAATGAGCGACATGTTGGGCCCGGCGTGTTGGAAGCATGCCAGAACAATTATAAGTTGGCCGTGTTGGAACTAACGTGCATAAAACTGCCATCGTCTTTGTTTTATCCGGGAAGCAAAAAGGCAGAAAAATGTGTAGCTTTTGTTTTCACTCCTCCAGCATGTTTTCTCCCACTTAGCTTGGTGACAATATTTGATGACTGGCCTCCTTTGTGATTCCTTCAGTGATTGATAGCCAGTAACTCAGTCTCTCTCTCTGTCTCTCTCCCTCTCTGTCTGTCTCTCTCTCTATCTGTCTGTCTCTCTGTCTGTCTCTCTCCCTCTCTCTCTGTCTCTCTCCCTCTCTGTCTGTCTCTCTCTCTATCTGTCTGTCTCTCTGTCTCTCTCTCCCTCTCTGTCTGTCTGTCTCTCCATCTGTCTGTCTGTCTGTCTGTCTGTGTCTCTCTCTCTCTCTCTCTCTCTCTCTCTCTCTCTCTCTCTCTCTCTCAGCCTTTTTTGTCCGTACTGTTATAAAACGTCACCCTTTTTTGCTGTATGTACCATTATTTGCTCAGACGTGTACTCACCTCACCTCAGTACACAACTGAAGAATGGGTCATCTGCTATAGTTGAATTGAGTATATACAGTATATTCTTCATGAAGTTTTTACCTCCACACAGAAAGCTATAGCTTAGTTGTGGGTCTGTCTGTTTGATTGTACCAGGATATTTAAAAAACAAAACATAAGAAATATCAAAGAAGTTTGGTGGAAAGTTCGACCACAGGCTGAGGAACAAGTGGTTTGTTCAGGGGATTTCTGAATGTTACAAAGCTGTTTCTCATGATTCATAGCACTCTATATCTGTATTGTCACGTTTTGTCCTCCCCTTCATAACGTGGTCCATTGATGCAGGTTAACACAGAGCATCGATGACCTGCTGGTTGGACTGTTTCAACGTCTCTAAACGCAACCTTCAGTAAGTCCGTCACAGCTGGATTTACTGCTCCGCTGCGGCTCCTCTCTCAGTATCGAACCTCGTGAAATCCAGATAGTTTGACCTCATCTCGTCTCGTTCCCCTCCTCTCACTATTGTTACTAAGTGATTACTCCATTGATCAAATCTTCCCTCTCTCCCCTCGAGCCTGCAGAGAGCTCTCAGGCTCTGTGATGTTCCCATTAGGGGCCGTATTGGAGATCTTCATCTCTTTGAAGCTGTTGGTTGACTTGACGGCTGCATTTCTAAAGTTACATTTCAGTTGTGTAATACCTTGCTAAACTTGGTGGCTTTGGTTTGAATTAGAGCCGTGATCGGACCACGGGTGCAATAGAATTTATAATAATACAAAAATATGAATAAATGCATGAGAAGCTAAAGTCAAAGAAGTAAAGAAGATGGGATTGTGATAATGTCATGCAGTGTATAAAAAGGGTAGAATTGAATGGTTTTAAGCTTCGATGTTACCAAGGGACAGAAACACACAGTATATGATATCATCAGCATAAAGTGGAAATATCTCCAAAAGTATTAGTGTAATGAAATTCTGTAAAGTTAGTCACGCAGCCTAGAGAATGATTCCTACTGACTTTGGTGAAGTGTGATGTGAAATGTTGCTGTTATGAATGCAGGTGTGATCTTATACGTTTGAGCTGTGAGTGGCTGCCTTTTATTTTAGATATGGATGTGTGACAGATGTGCAGACTCCAACATATAGAGCTGATGACTTCTGTTGATTCACAATGGGACTTATACTGTAGGATTTTCATTAATGGCCTCATAAAACCTTCTTTAGTTTCCACATTCTTGAAACGCAGCTCTCTCTTTGTCCGTCTCTTCCTCTCAGATTTGCCGTCATCGCCTCGGGCTGTGCCAGCTGTCCCCGGTTGGTGTGTCGCAGAGAGGGATGCGGTGCCGAGTTCTGCTACCACTGCAAGCAGGCCTGGCATCCCAACCAGACCTGCGACTCAGCCCGCCAACAGAGGGCCCAGTCCCTGCACACCCACAGCAACCACTCCCCCAGCTACACACAGGAGCAAGGACCAGGTGAGTACGCACCCCCCCAGCCTCACTCACACACAAACACACACACTTTGTGCTTCTGTCTGACATAAACAGACAGATAGGATCTCCCTCCTCCAGCATTTCCGACCCAAAAATATTCTTCACACCTCTGAGAACTGTCTGCCTCTCTGTCTGTCAGTCCCTATGAAGCGTCAGCGCGCTGAGTCAAACTCGTCTTGCGTCTGTCCCGCCGACTCCCCGGCGTGCCCACCGCGAGCGGCGTTCAACCGAGCACGAGACGCTATTTATACCACCACAGCTTCTCCTCCTGGTAGTTTGCCGACTGCAGCGCCCTCTCCCCATCAGACAGCATTTACAACATGTGTCTAAACTTAGTCCGATTTTCAAAACGTAAAACATTTTAGTCCTCGTCCACCTCGGCAGTTCAACCACGCAGTAGCACTTTGGTAGAGTCGAGCACATTTGTTCCTGTTTTTTTTTTACTGTATTTGAGCGATGTTCCAAATGAACATTTAAAGATAAGCTTCTGAATAACTCGCTGGTGAAACTTTGAAACTTCTCTGTTGAGTTTTAGAACATCATCAGTGACGTGGGAGGACATTTTAAATCTATTGGTCTAGTGTAGACCAATAGATTTTGAATACTGTATGGTGTCTACTACAAATGGTGTCCATTAAATACAGTTAATGGACACCATTTGAGACGGTTCTGTACTTTTACACATTAACGGAAATGTTCTTTAAACGCCGAAGGTAAAAAACTGATTTTAATCAATGAGCTTTAGAGTTGCTGTTTCCACACATTATGCTAAGCTAAGCTAATCTAGCCTCCCGTTTACAGCACAGACATGAGAGCGGTGTCGGATCTTTTAACTCTCTGCAACCGAGCAAAAACAATGTGTTTACAAAGTGTCGAGGTAGCCCTTTAATTCACTTGTTGTGGTGATAATAGATACTAACGTCCGTGCTTGTGCGTGCAAACATCCTTACATGTGAGTGCGTATGCGCGTCTTTAATTCCATTTTGATTAAAAATCTATTAATTAAACCCCCCCAGCTGTCCTCAGTCAGTCCTCTGGCTCTGTCTTCCCCTTAATTCACCACTTCCAGTCTGCCTCGCTCTGCCAAGTATTCAGAAGAACTGACCACAATCCAGACGAGCAAAACTGACTCATAAGACAATCCAGGCCGCTCCCTGTCTGTCTCTCTGTCTGTCTCTCTCTCTATCTGTCTGTCTCTCTG